AAAGGCCGCCTAAAATATGTAGTAACTGTTTTAATTGCCCTTGACAATTAATGTGTACTGTATTCTTCAGTTCTTTTTGGTGTAATAAACAATTATATTGAAAATGATATTTCTACATTATTTTTTTTTTTTAAAGATTGAAAGAAAGGGTAAGATTTCTCATTTGTATACGACAAAAATAACCTTAAATAAGGGTGATCAAAAAACCGGCATCCTTTGTAATCCTTTATGAATTATTATTACCAAAACCTACTCTTTACTATCACTTTATCACTGGAAAAAATCGCGCGCTTTAAAGGTTGTAAATTTGATGTAAATATGATGTAAGTGTCCAAAATTCTGTAAATTTAATGGRAATCATTTACATCAAGTTTACAGAATTTTGGACACTTACATCGTATTTACATCAAATTTACAACCTTTAAAGCGCGCGATTTTTTCCAGTCAGTGTATGCTATATTAAATGGAAATATTGTGATATTCAAACTTAAAACCGACGAACAGAAACGGATTGTGAATGGATATTCGAAGTCACTTCATTTTTCCATATGAAAAATCTAAAACACGACCGCATTGAATGCCTGTTGACTATGTCCCTTAAAAAAAATCGCATTTAATCACCAGCTGGTTCTCTAAAGAGAGCGCTGTATTGATCTCTATATTTATATTAGTAACATACAGACTGACAGAACTGACACTTTTCAAGTTATAATTATAATAATTTCTTATTCAATTTTCATTCAAGATCGAAAGCAAATAATCGTGTAAACCCTCTGTATTTCTTTTTATCTCCTTTTGTGAAACATCTTCTCACCTTTCTTTCTTTTTCATTTAAGTTGTTTATTTTCATTTAAATGTCCAATTCTTTTTCTCGAGAACCTATTTTTTTCTTTTTCGAAATAGTACAAGCCTGTGGCGTACATCCGGTTTATTTCTGTGAATGAAACTCCGGCTATCGGAATATTAATATTTTCCGTTTTCATTCTAGTTTTGAAGTCATTCAAGATCTCTCGCTGTAATTTCTACCAAAATAATTTGTAGCCATTTATTTTTTCAGTTCGTTAAGTTTTATTCCTTGATCGCTCAGTCGATTAAAAGGCGTTTGTTTGCTTATACTTAATCTCAAAGGTGAGTCCATGCTTGCTATGCTCATAAAGATTTCAGAGATAACTTGCTCAAACATCAATTTATACGTCATGATCAGATGTCTCGCCTGTTACGACTTTATCAATGACGACCGATATGAACGTTCTCAGAGCTGTCTTAAATATATATATTATCAGTCAAGAAATTAAATACCAGCTTGGGTTAACTTGACAAAAAGGAAAAAAAA